TGTGTGTGTGTGTGTGTGTGTGTGTGTGTGTGTGTGTGTGTGTGTGTGTGTGTGTGTGTGTGTGTGTGTGTGTGTGTGTGTGTGTGTGTGTGTGTGTGTGTGTGTGTGTGTGTGTGTGTGTGTGTAGTCTCTTACAGGCTTTGCCTTGGTAGTGAGCAGTGATGGGATGGTATTTTATGCCTCTTCAACCATTGTGGACTATCTGGGATTTCATCAGGTGAGTTAAACGTCTCAAATATATTTTACACATACAAAGCTGAAGAAAACATGTATCAACTGACAGACTAGTTGGCAGCGTCTTCTTCAACTGCAACATTTCCCTGAGAAAGTAGGTGTGTTGTACTCAGCCGGTGTTTTTTAGGAGCCCAACTTATCATGTTTTTGACTAATTGTCAGTCATCCAATGTCCTCCTGCCTGAGGCCGAGGTAACCTGAATCCATGAAACTATTTCAGGAATTTAGGCACCTGACAGCAAACACAGCCAGTATGAAAAATGCCAAAACAATGGTAATATTGATCAATTTCTTGTTGTGGTCTTGTTGTCTGATGAATATTCAGTTTTAGGTAATATTGATATTGATAATCATACTAATTAATATATTATATCTCAACCTCCGCTGTTTGGACAGGAAGTTACTGCTCCCCACCAAGAGATATTCTGTCCGGCACATTACCTTAAAATTGCAAATAGTTGTGTTTTTGTACAGATAAAAGAGATGTTAATTAGTGAGCTTTAGAAGTGCTGGTAGGTGGATTTTCATTTGGAGATGTTTCCACTTGATTCCAGTCCTTATGCTAGGCTAAGCTAAGCAGCTGCTAGCTTCTTATTTACAGTAAGTCATGAAAATGGTATGATCTTCTAATCTCATCCTCTCTCTCTTATTTACCAAAAAGAGTTCTTTAATAGCTTGGATGCATTATAAAATAAATTTAGTATCAAACAGGTGTCATCATTTACATTATAAGAGATATGCAACACCTAGTTATATCCATTTTTCAAAAGGTAAGCTAATAAATCCACTCCTGGGAAGCCTCTCACGTCGCCCCTTCTCAAAGTAAACAAGTGTCAGAGGTCTCCGCTATCATTCAGAAAGTTCACTATTTCCCTTTTTCACCCGCAGACGATGTTTTCTCTTCCATCCATCCCTTTCTACTTTCTTTCCTTCCCATGCTACGGCTAATGAGTCAGAGTAAAAGTCTCTCTTTCAGTCTGCCTGATAACTCTATCTAGAGGGGCAGACTGAACCCTTTAAGTCACAGCTAAGAGGCCATAGGAAGGTGAAGACCCCCGTTTCATCCTGAGATACACACTGTGGGTGTCGGTGTGTGTGCGGGCACTGATAAGTCACCAACGGTTTAGCTTCCTTCCTCTCCGGCAGCTATACCCAGCCAGCCATTAATTATGGATGATGTCAACACAGGCTTGCCTGTACTGCGATGCTAAAATCATCTCCCTCCTTCAAAACCATGAATAAAGTGATTTTCACTGTTAAAATCCCTCCTTTGCCCTCATGTCTGCTCTCACACACACACACACACACCTACACACACACAGCACATTGACACTTTGGGGGTGGAAATTATTCTGCTACAGCGCTCCCACTTGGCTTACAAGCAGACAGGGGCAGTAACCCAGCGCCATGAAATCGACATGCGAACCACAGCGGTCTGAAAGATCCTTCCACAGCGTGTGTCTGTGCGCACATGAGTGTACGAGTGTGTGTGTGAGCAGGGTGGCATGGGAGCAAGTGGAGACAGACAAAGGAAATTAAAACCGTCAATTGCATAAAATGTGTGTGTGCATATGTAAAAGGAAAACTGTAGTGTATGCAGTGGGTACGGAAAGTATTCAGACCCCTTTAGATTTTTCACTCTTTGTTTCATTGCAGCCATTTGCTAAAATCAAAAAAGTTCATTTTATTTCTCATTAATGTACACTCAGCACCCCATCTTGACAGAAAAAAACAGAAATGTAGAAATTTTTGCAAATTTATGAAAAAAGAAAAACTGAAATATCACATGGTCATAAGTATTCAGACCCTTTGCTGTGACACTCATATTTAACTCACATGCTGTCCATTTCTTCTGATCCTCCTTGAGATGGTTCTACTTCTTCATTGGAGTCCAGCTGTGTTTAATTAAACTGATTGGACTTGATTAGGAAAGGCACACACCTGTCTATATAAGACCTTACAGCTCACAGTGCATGTCAGAGCAAATGAGAATCATGAGGTCGAAGGAACTGCCCAAGGAGCTCAGAGACAGAATTGTGGCAAGACACAGATCTGGCCAAGGTTACAAAAGAATTTCTGCAACACTCAAGGTTCCTAAGAGCACAGTGGCCTCCATAATCCTTAAATGGAAGAAGTTTGGGACGACCAGAACTCTTCGTAGACCTGGCCGTCCAGCCAAACTGAGCAATCGTGGAAGAAGAGCCTTGGTGAGAGAGGTAAAGAAGAACCCAAAGATCACTGTGGCTGAGCTCCAGAGATGCAGTAGGGAGATGGGAGAAAGTTCCACAAAGTCAACTATCACTGCAGCCCTCCACCAGTCGGGGCTTTATGGCAGAGTGGCCCGACGGAAGCCTCTCCTCAGTGCAAGACATATGAAAGCCCGCATAGCCCGCACAGACTATGAGAAATAAGATGCTCTGGTCTGATGAGACCAAGATTGAACTTTTTGGTGTTAATTCTAAGCGGTATGTGTGGAGAAAACCAGGCACTGCTCATCACCTGCCCAATACAATCCCAACAGTGAAACATGGTGGTAGCAGCATCATGCTATGGGGGTGTTTTTCAGCTGCAGGGACAGGACGACTGGTTGCAATTGAAGGAAAGATGAATGTGGCCAAGCACAGAGATATCCTGGAAGAAAACCTCTTCCAGAGTGCTCTGGACCTCAGACTGGGCCAAAGGTTCACCTTCCAACAAGACAATGACCCTAAGCACACAGCTAAAATAACAAAGGAGTGGCTTCGGAACAACTCTGTGACCATTCTTGACTGGCCCAGCTAGAGCCCTGACCTAAACCCAATTGAGCATCTCTGGAGAGACCTGAAAATGGCTGTCCACCAACGTTCACCATCCAACCTGACGGAACTGGAGAGGATCTGCAAGGAAGAATGGCAGAGGATCCCCAAATCCAGGTGTGAAAAACTTGTTGCATCATTCCCAAGAAGACTCATGGCTGTACTAGCTCAAAAGGGTGCTTCTACTCAATACTGAGCAAATGGTCTGAATACTTATGACCATGTGATATTTCAGTTTTTCTTTTTTAATAAATTTGCAAAAATTTCTACATTTCTGTTTTTTTCTGTCAAGATGGGGTGCCGAGTGTACATTAATGAGAAATAAAATGAACTTTTTTGATTTTAGCAAATGGCTGCAATGAAGCAAAGAGTTAAAAATTTAAAGGGGTCTGAATACTTTCCGTACCCACTGTATATAGTTCATATTTAAGACTACGAGCTATGCTATGCTAACAGCTCTGCGAAGCTGCACACAGCAACAGTGGAGTTTTGAGCTAAACGCTAACATCAGCATGCTAACATTCTCACAATAGCAATGCTAACATGGTGAAGATAAACAGGTCAAATGTTTACAGTGTTCACCATCCTAGTGCAGCGTGTTAGGATGCTAACATTTGCTATTTCGCACTAAACACAAAGTACAGTTGAGGCTGTGTGATAAGTTTGGAGGTACTGGACAATTTTAAGCTGGTGGTGCTGGATGAAAAATCAGGGGATTTCCTCCGGGGACCTTGTATTTCTGTACAGAATTTCATGGCAATCCATCCGATATTTGTTGAGATGTGTCAAATTCAATCAAAATTCACCAAGTCACACCAATGCAACCACACAATATGTTTTTATTTTACAGAACATAGCAGTAACGGTAATGTAAGTTCTGTTCATACTGCCAATTGTTCATCAATATTTTTGAGTTAACAAATGCAAAAACATACTTTACATGCTCAAGAGAAAGAGCCAAAGCAGTTTGTGTGATATGGTCATGTTTGACCAGAGGCAGACGATCACTGTTTATCTATACATCAAATTAAAATCAAGTAGTTCTCTGTACTTGTACTACGGGCTAAAATACAGGTGACTTTAAATACAAACTGTTCTATTTGAGAAACCTAAGAATGAATGAGTTGTTGACAGTCTGTCCTTGCAGTACATAAAAGAAGTACTCACGGATCACCATGTTATATTTCAGAGACTGTCCCCAAAACATTCTCTTAGTCTTTCCCACATTTCTCGCAAATAAGATATTGGTTGTTTTTAAGCCACATAGTTTGCCTCTAAGGCCTTGACAACATGTCACATAATTTTGAGCCCACAATTGTAGTCAGAAGGACACTTATCCCTAATATACCACAGGAAAAAAAGAAAAGAGAACGCTTCACTAAGTAGCACCACAAGAAAGCCCCGGAGAACAGCAGAAAACCTCCACTGGCCTTTGATCCCATTTGTTAGCCTTTGAAGGTCAGCGAAAATATCACTTATTCTCTTTTCTTTTCCCCCTCTTCTTTTCCTCCCTGCGTTTTTTACGAGAAACATAAACAATAGTCACTCGATCCGTCTGTCTGCCTGACTGCCAGTAGGGAACAAAAACCACAGGCCGAAGAGCCCGCCGAAGACGGTGGGAACAGATTGTGTTTTCAGAGGCAGGCGATCAAAAACCCTCGCGTGCCACCAGTGTGGAAATTATGGAGAGAGTGCAGGGAGGAGGGAAGAGGAGAAGGTTGAACGTTTTAGTGAGGAATCTGTCATGGAATGACAGAAAGCAAAGCTATTGCTGGAAAAGAGCGAGAGGCATGACGAGAGTGGGCTGGAACCCCGCTCACTCTGTGTGTGAGTGTGTGCGCGTGTGTGTGTGTGTGTGTGGATGGGGAGGGCAAGCTGGGCTGGACTGCTGTTCCAGAGCCGGTGTCACGCGATGTTTGACAAACACAGCTGCCCTCGCTGGCCCTACAGCGGCCCTTAGACTGTTACAGTACTAAGTAAATGTTCCTGTGTGTGTATGTGCAAAACATATCTATTGATGCAGTGTGCATGTACTGTATGTTTCCGGGGACTTTGTGTGTAGAGTATGGTCCTTATGAGTGTATCGGAGGAAGTTAACATGCTTCCTGGGAATCCTGAGGCAGGCTGAGTGTATCAGAGCAGCAATAGCAGGAATCCCCCGTCTAAACAGTGTCCACCAGCTGCACTGATGGCAGCACAACGCAGTCCAAAGTCAGTCTGCTGCAATCTCATGTTTCTGAAGACTTTCATGAGATGACAAAACAAAGAGTCTAAAACTGGAAATGTCCTTTCCTTGACAAACGTACTAAATGCCGTTCAATTTTCCCCGGCAGACTGACGTGATGCACCAGAATGTGTTTGACTACATCCACATAGACGACCGCCAGGAGTTCAGACGCCAGCTCCACTGGGCCATGTGTCCTCCACAGGGGAATTCGGCACACCAGGACGGCCAGCTAGCTGCAGGGACCGGTGGGTAGCTTACTGGGAAGGGATGAACCAGTTCCCTTGGGCAAACTGTTGGGTTGAAATGTGGATATGGGTTTGATCACAGACATTCTTTATTACATTTTTTAATTTTGAAGTTCTGGTAGTTACTCTTGAGATCTAGAGTATGTCTATCTCCCATTGTAGGTTTGCCACAAAATTTGCAGCTGAAATTAAACTCTTCTTCTTCACCTCCTCCATCTGTCTCCATTACATTTCAGGTGAGGACTTTGTAGTGAGCAGCCTGTTCCATTCTCCGGAGGCAGGGGGAGTTCCTCCTGAGCTCTCCTGCTTTCTCAACAGGTGTTTCATTGCCAGAGTCCGATGCCTCTTGGACAGCACCTCCGGATTCTTGGTGAGTGGTCGGAACAGTTCGTTTTCAATTAACGCATTAACGTTTACGTAGAAAAGTGCAGAGATATGCAATGAAAATTAAACCATGGAGTAAATGTTGCCCACTTTCTGGGAGAAGACCCAGGCCTATAAAAAGTATTATGACCCGTTCGGTACAGCAAAACTTATTTTTGAATTGTAGTGCGTACAGATATTTATAGTTCTATTGCAATGCATTATGAAGTAATTGGGTGCCTGGACACAGCAGCAGAATAGGGGCCTGGTTCATCCTTCGAGGCTGTGACTAGAGTGGTTTGGAGAACAGCAGTGGAAAAGTTCAGAGCCATGATGACAGAGCAATAAGCATATGGGTTTGGACCATTTCATCAGGGTCATTAAAGTTCACTGTCACCAAGTCTGCTCTGGCTGCACAGAAATTTTAGAAGGCCGATTTATTCTGGAAGCCTTTATAGCCAAGTAGTGAGCAAATACTGGTGAGATGCTTTCCTGATCAGTCAACATAATTGCAGGCATACAAAATATTAATGTAATGCATGTTTTATTGAACATATCTGCTCGCCAGCAGCTTAATAGATCGCCATCTATTAAGCTGCTGGTGGGTCTTTGGTCCAGACTGAAATATCTCAACAACTAATTTGCTAATTAGCAAATGTTAGCATGCTAACAGACTGGAAGCGGACCGCTAAACAACCCTCAAATTATCTGCTAAATAGGCCAATTATGTGCTAAACATTAGCATGCTAGCATTATGAGCATGTTAGCATGATGATGTTAACATTTAGCTCAAAGCACTGCTGTACAGCTTCAAAGAGCTTCCAGCTCAGCTGTAGATGCTTAGTCTTGTTTAAATACTAATGTGGTTCCCAGTGTGTGTATGGTTCTTTTTATTAAGGATGACATAAAGACACAGTGTCCCGACTGTATAGTACACTGTTTCAGTACAAGTTGACACTTCCCAATGTTTCCTGGAATCAAATTGAAAACCAGTTTAAATACAAATATAAAAAACGCAAAAGAAGACAAGTAAATGTGAGCTTTCAAGGGAAATGAATAAAGTAAAAAAATAACATGTAAGACGTTTGGAAGAGCATAACCTAAAGATCATGTGTTCAAACCAGTAAATTCTTCTTCTCTTCTCTCCCAGACTATGCAGTTCCAGGGTCGGTTGAAGTTCCTCCACGGTCAGAAAAAGAAGTCAGCCTCCGGGGCTCTGATGCCTCCCCAGCTGGCTTTATTCTGCATAGGTGTACCCCTTCTACTGCCCTCCATCACTGAGATGAAAATGAAGAACATGTTAATGCGGGGAAAGAACAAGGGAGGAGGTGGAGGGATGATCTCCTCACTGGAGCATGGGTGAGAGAACCCGTACAGTCCATGAGCGTCATCCTTGCAACGTTAACCAAAGTTAAAGGAATGATGTATATTCACACTGTCTTAGTGTAAAGCCACTGATTGTTTTAATGGGGGCGCTATACTGTAATTAAAGTTCAAGCTTTTTAACACAAACTTGATATCTCAGACACCTTTGGTCCTTTGATGCCTCTAGAGATTACACTGATTTGCCTGATGGGGGCGCTAGAAGTAAAGGTCAAAACTATAAACATTAAAAGGCCACATCCGCTACATCGGAACTGCCCTCATAATTCATAAGGGCCAATATGTTTACTTTGCTAAATATGTAAAATCATACTTCGTGACTACCTTGAGTAAGATCCACGAGGCAGCGGTACACAAACATATTCAAACACTGTAACAGTGTTAGAGTGATGGAAAATGGGCATCAGCCCTCGTGTATTATTCATTCTTTAAATCATTTTCAAGATATACCAGCGTATTGCCCAGAAACAGCTTTATGAACACAGACATAAGCCCTTTCCTCGCCCAGCAGGCTCCGACACCAAACCATACGAGTGCTGGATGCCTTACCTGTGGCCAATTAGGAGCAAATACATGTCCCAGCTTGGATGAGGCCCTCTGCGCTTCATGCATCATTAACAACTTTGGGAGGCAGAGAGGCCAAGAGTTGAGCTGTAGTCAGGGAGCAGAGCCCCACCACCCCCTCTGCTGTTCATTCCTTCTAAGCATCATCCAGGTTTCTTGAAAAACATACCAATTACTTATAAGTGGACGGCATGTTGGCTGGTTGGATCACAAGGAGCTCATTGGGTTGGGTCTTCAGTATGAGAACACAGTGCCATGTTCAAAATACATGGCAGCTGGGAAACACTTGAAAATGTGTATATTTACATAATGTTTTTAAAAAGACAATGTGTGCTGCCTGGGTCCAAAGAGGTAATACTACTCCAAAGCCTTATCTTATCAATATAGTGTTATGTGATCCAGTCGGCCCTTTTCACAGTAATCATTTTGACATGTAATTGCAGGGTGAACACAGGTGTTTTTAATCAATTATGGCCCTGTTCCATTTAGGTGGGCCAGGGCCCTGGTACTGTGCATGCTGGCTCACTGGAATGGCTGTGGCACACTAAATGGAATGAGGGCATAATTATTTTTGATCAATTACACCTGTGTTTACCCTGCTGCGCCGTGTCTGAAAAGCTCCTGTTGAGAAAGAGCAGAGAGCAGCAAAAGACAGTCAGAGTGGGGATTCACAGAAGAAAACAACTTGTTTTAAAATCAAGTTTTTGCCATTATAATCAGAAGTTTGAAATGGCCATTTTTCATAACAAGGAAAATAGTATTTCCAATATGTAGTGATCAAAATGCATTGATGACCTCAGCAAAAGGTTTGGCCACGTTGCTGAAAAATGTAGATTTGAAACATTCTTCTTCTACAATAATCAGCAGACAGCACGACAAATGGCCAACATTAGCTGACACCACTGGTGGATTTCTCATCGCTAACAAAGTTAAACACTTGAAATATGTGTTTGTAAGATTAGAAATGTTTTTCGGTTTTTTTCACTGAATGTTTTAAGAGGAAATGAAGATGCGTTGTCCTGCCAATTAACTTGGATTGCGGGCCATCATTGATCTTTGGGCTATGGATGTTGACTCTGTTCTCAATTTTCAGATGAGATGAATCCTGGAAAAAATGAGTCACTTTTGGAATGATTCTCTCGTGAACTTAAGTGAACCAAATCTAGATATTTGGGCTTTGAGTCACTCATCAATCAGTAGAATAAACAATCAGTTTGTGGACAATCCCAAATGGATTTCGGGGCGGATCAATGATATTTCAAGAGACCACCTCTTCTTGAATGTCCTCAAGGACTACAGAAACATTGTATAATCTATTGTTTTGTCATCTTGTTTTGTGACTAATGATATCCTTCTTCCATCCCTCTCTCCTCCCCACCCCTCTTTTCATGCCTCTCCTCTCCCTCACAGTGAGCGAGGGGAACAGCTCCGGAGGCATTCCTTCGGTGGAGGAATGGGCGACATAACAGACCCCGTCCTCCTCTCCTGTCCCACTCCTGGCGCAACCCAGCGGGGTCACCACACTCCCTGGACCCCGCTCTCCAAAGACAACCTCAAGTACCGCCCTGAGGGTTACTACAACCAGGAGGAGCCCCTCAACTACTGCAAGTCCACCATGGCGTCCCATAAAGGTGTTAGCCCAGGCCTGGGCTGCGGCTGGCCCCTGCGGCCGAACTCCGGTCCCCTCAGAGCGGGCCAGGGTGTCGGCTACATCCCCTCTAACCGCATGAACAAGGCCGGCCAGTACGGGAAGCCATACCGCCTTTCCCCTAACTGCCACAGCGGCAGAGGCAGCGAGGTGTTTGTCTCTAAGCTCTACGGGAACGTCCAGATCCCCACAGACCCGGATGCCTACTGCGTGGACCTGGTGAAGAACGAGAACGGCTACGGGGAATGCTACGATGGCCACCTGATGCCCGAGATGCAGCCCATCAAGGTGGAGCACGACTCGGACTCTGAGAACGGCTGCGATGCCTACGGGCGACCCTGGGCGTGCCGCGACCCAGAGGCCATCGACCGCCGCTACGGCAACGAGGTATACGACCAGAGCTCAGGCCTCCATCTCAAATCAGAGGCGGAATATTATGATCCGCAGTACTCGCCCTGCCAGCGAGGGAAAGCAGGAATCAGCCCACCGTACAACAACGGCAACTATCAGAACTATGCAGTCAACAATGGCGGGAATGGCGGGAACGGACGTCTGTTGAAATGTGACAAAGACTTGGGCAATCACAACGACAACAGCCAGTTTAGTCCTCAGAGACTCTCTCACTCTGACTCTCTATGCAGCAACCAATCTGTCAACCTCATGGACTCACACGTCTATCCACAGGACCCTCACAAGGCCTATATACACCCGGACTACAACAAGCATGGCACTTACGAGTTCAAAGGTCACGGCCTGGTCCATTCCATCAAGCGGGAGCCCATGGACTCCCCACCATGGTCTGAGAATGCTCGCAACATAAGCCAGTCCATGATGGTTGGTCCGAGGAACATTATGCCATGTGTTATGAGCACGGGTCACCACAAGTCCAGTCCCTACATTTATTTGCCATAAGAGTGATTGGAGCAAACACAGCAGATCATTTCTCTCTCACACACACACACACACACACACTCTCAAACAATCAGTGTGCATTAAAGTACTTTGTATTGCGCCAAATGCACCAGCATTACAAAAGGATTCCCAGGACGTTAACATTTAAACGACTTCTTCTTCAGTCCGATGAAGAGGTCACAAACAAGGCTCAGGTTCTAGTGTTCGTGTTGTGACAATCAAAAATAATACCTTGAATCCAGTTTGTGGATCGGCGATTTAGTTTTTAAGGGATACATTTTGTAGTTGGTTCCTAGCACTTTTGGATTTAGTGAGACAATTTATGTCTAGAGACACAATTTCATTTTGGTTTTATGTGTTGTGCACACCTGGCTTTTGTGGAAGGAAAAAAGATTTTGCTGTAAAAAGAGACTTTCTTTTTAAAACGTTGTACACAGGAGATGACTTTACACCTACTGCTGGGCTTATCAAAGGAGATGGCACACAGTCAGTGATGACAACTTAAAGGATGATCTGCTTTGATGGTGGTTCTGCATGTTTTAGTGCTTTGACTATAAATTGCCTATCTTTCTCATCAATGCCCCCAGTGATGTTTGAATGGAATCTAGTGGTTTCTATGCATTTTAGACTTGTATTAAATCAACTTTCAGAGACTTGAAACTTAATCAATTGCAGTAAAGAAAAACGTTTGGTCCCTCCTCATTCATGCATTCCTGTAGCTACAGAAAAGCTGTTTTTTTTTAATGCATGACACAACCAAATTGACATCCTATTCACAACTACTTTGTTTACTCAAGATTTATGACCTGAATTTGATTTTCCAAGATCATAGCGTACAATGCAGTGCTTTTGTCAGAGCGCCCATTAATCCACCACAAAGGACAGTTTAACAACAACAAAAAGGTTTCTCGTTGCAAATGCAGAAACCTTTGGAAAACGTTTTAGTTCATAGACGGAAACATGTAAAACTATTGGCCAAAGCTTTAAGTATATTCACTACATCTGTTTATTAAACTAGAAACTGAATACATGAGGGGGCGGATGAAGCACCACCACCTGTGGTTCAAGCATGCGCTCCTTGGCTCTGAGATAAAAGATCACACTTGAATTGCCCTTTAAGTTGCAGGACCTAAGATGAACTTGGACCTAAGAAAGATGGTCTGCTTAAATTACCATATAATTACTCAGTTTGAAGGTTTGTTTGGACGAGGTAGAAGTGTTTGAACTGAAGGAAAAGAGTCTTTTGTTAATAGGTTCGAGGTTGATTATTCTTCCAACACGCACAATCATTTTTATCATATTAAGTCATGCAACCTGTCGAGCATACAAATAATGAATTTATTTATGTCATTTTATGTCAAAGCTAATGTTGTACAGTTTGGTTTAGTGTTCATGGCAAGCTCAGCATTTCAACTCAATACAGCCTGTCTCACTGCAGACACGACATGTTTTCTTTTGAAATGAATATACACTTTTCATGTCGTCGTTTGAGTCCGAAAACATCCGACCTTTTCGTCACAATCAATGTTTTTGCACAAGATGAATTTAAAAAGCACCAAATTGATTCGCTGTTAGTCTCAGTTCTGTGGAGCTACTGTTGTAGTTTCGAAATTGCACTACTGGGAGTAGTTCAGTTGAAGTTCAGCCTACCCAGACAGGTTTTTGAGTCAACACGCACAACTGTACACGGTGTCACTGTTTTGACTTTGTCTTTTTCTCTCTGTGTGTGTTCATTTCAATAAATGTTTGATGATTCGTATTTATTGTAAGAGGCAAAAGCGTATAATTTAAAAAAAACTACAGTTTTGAAGGCTTTTCTGTTTCACTAAGGTAAATAAATATGCCTTTTTCTTTTCTTGCTATCTTTTTTGATAATTGTTATAAAAGTCATACTTGTCTCATGGAGGAGGTAGCTGCAAGGTAGTGAACACAGTGTACATATGCAATGTCTTCCAATGTTTCTACGTGTTTTTGCAAATGGGACTTATCTATTAAAAGACTTTTTCTTTATATGTAAACTCTGGGTGAAGTGTTGTTCTTTTGCCACGAGGCAGATTGAAAACAAGGCAACCAATTACTGCCAGCTTGGTGGGCGAGTAACATATCAACATGTCCCACATGATGGCATTCTGGACTTCCAAAAAAACAAATCCACAGTAATCGGATTACACATAACTAGTCACTTAGACCTTTTTAGAGAAGACATTTTCACTTGCCGCAGTAGGAAAAGCACAGGTGTAAATAATGAAATTAATGATGGCTTTGATTTTAGGTTATTGGTGTCGTGCATGCCACCTCACTCTCATTAGTGACACCTGTGCTTCTCCCGCTATCACAAGTCAAATGTCTGCTGTGAGAAAGGCCCGTGTGAATATTACACAGCTGTGAATGACAAGCATACTAATCTTTTAGGATTTGCAATAGATGAGTGAAAGCGAGCAGCAACATGGCTTTGTGCAAGAAACTCTGCAGAAGATGGTACAATGTTCCAAGGACTTTTTCATAGTAGAAATATACATGATATTTCCTTAACAATGCCAAATGAAAACCATGGAGCTCAAATCAAGTAATGTTAAACAATCTTATGGTTTCCTGCTCTCATTAACGCTCTCCAGAATTAAAAATTCCCAAATTCTATGGTTCAGTTAACAGCCATATCTCTTTAGCAGCTTTTGAATTTTTCACGTACACCAAATGTGGTCTCATCCTTCAGATTTGTGTCTCTATTAATAATAAATACTCAGCAGAACAGGATACAGAGTATCTCTAGCCACATTGCCTGTATGATTAATGTGCTGTAAAGTTGGCATGACAGCTCCTTCACACGATCTGAGAAACTCAACACCAGTCTCTCACCACTGTCTAGGACGAGAGCTAGAGCCAGGGGAATGTTGGCATCCACGGAGAGGTATAGGGCAAGGACGGGAGCAGGGAGCAAGAAGAGGCAGAGATGTAGCCTAAAAGCTGTGGTTAAGTCTTGGTCCAGGGAATTCTATCCTACTAGGTAATTAATTGCGTTCACTTGGCACATCGGGTTTAAAATCGGCCCTGAACATTCACTGTCTACTTTATCCAGTGTTCCTCCCTCTGGACAGAGGAGCAGTTCATTTTTCAAATAAAAGTTGCATTGTAACAGAGAGAATCTGATCTTTCATCATTACATGCATTAAATACTGTAGATTATATTGGCTCTGAAAGCCCCCCAAAAAATCACTTATCAACACTAATGAAAATTACAGTTTCAGCTTGAAATACAACTATTTTCCTTTTCTAGAGCCAGTGACATCTGATTTGCTTATATTAGATGTAAATTGGGTGAATGGAAACTTCTAGGGTGATGCGGTTGCAGATAGTTGGACACAAAATAGAGGTTTCGGAATAAAGCAAATGGTGGGCGACCTATAATAACAACACTGGAACATGTAAAAGTATGCATTAATATGAGAAAAATAACTGAAATCACACCACATGAATAGCTACTGCAGTGTTCAGCACTATTTGGCATGGTGGCCACATTCACAACCTCAGGTTATATGACACTATGAATTTTTCTATTTTGCTTTAATGCAACTGTAACACCAGGAAACAAAATCACACATTCAATAATTGCTCTTTAAATGACCACAATTCAAGCTATTAGGTCAATATATTATATATTGACCTAACACCAAGAGAAATATGAAGATTACATTTTTTGTATTTAAATTGCGTGGGCACTTGGCCAGTTAGAGCCACAGAAACACAATCATGTGCATGTGTCATAGGCATGATCGGAAGTGAGAATCTTTACTAGTTTGCTCCGATGTGAAAGAACAGGAGTCTGCCACCGATTCCACAACTACCGTCGTCCCTCTCTCTAATCCCTCCCAGTAGCTCGTGTTTGTTTCTTCACAGTCAAGAGTATCGCTTAATAGGGAATCTCAGGATACACATGGATCAGTTAGTGTGGGGACGATTGTGAGTGTGTATGTGCATGTGTGCAAGAGTGTGTATTTGCATGCTTGTATGGGGAGTATAACCAGATAGCGACGTCCCAGGTTTGATTGCGAACAGACTACTAACTCATTTTTAAGAATAAGGCTTTTTGATTCCGTTTATTTTGTTATTTTTAACCTTCTTTAAAGGGAAGCAATAGAAAAAAACACAACCTGAGAAAAGATACCTGTCATAATATGTTTTGGATTTTAAAAGTGCTGTGAATAAAGATATTTAAAGATAGAGTGGAACTTCTGTGGTTAAAATAGCCTCTGCTAGATTTACAACAACAATGGAGTTGATGCAATTGCTAAAATTTCAAATGACCCTGCATCAAAAACCACAGAAGTCACTCATGTGCACAATATTAATAATGGATGGCCATGTTAGTCTAATGTATGTGTCCGGGGGTTGGAAGATAATTGCTATCGAAGCTAGTATTTCTCCATTTAAAACTACACTTCCCTTACAGTAAGTGTACACCTAACAAGGTTAATTCCTCTGGTTACCAGTATTTTGTTGATTCACTATGCAACAAGTTACACAATGGCCATATGCGTGTCAGTGTTGATGTTTTGTACACCCATGTAGCCCCGGACAGTACAGAACAGTACAGAAGAACTGTTCTCTTCCTCTTGGCTTAAAACATGCTCTATCCAATTAAGATAATACTTCCTCCTCCAGGTGCTGTCCTGAGACTGAACACTGTGTTCACTTGGGCTTTCACTTGAACAGGAACTTAACATGCATTTAATCTTAACAGTAACATTTTCTGGGTTTCCCTCAGCAAGTTTGTGTGTGCAGCAGGGCTTGTTGTGACAGGTTATGTGTAACTGCCTGAAAACAAATTAGTTTCATTACTTGGCAGTTGGCAAGGAGTGGGACAATATCGTACAGGAGGGATAGGAAGGGCTAAATGGTGTTAACATAAGTGTTTTTGATTCATACAGTAATAAACAAAAAATGGTCCATGGGCAGCATTGTAGAGTTTAATAGAAAAAAATAAGTTTTTGTTCAAGGAAGAACTACATGAGTACTTTTTTTGTTTTGCTCACCAGACATGCACCCACAATGTGGACGCTGAATATTCAAAGCTATAATGGTATACAAACCACTAAGTGCAATGTTAGACAGAGCCGAACAAGGAGGAAGCGTAGCGCTTTTCAAGCTCTATAACATGAATTACATATGCAATTGTGCCCCTCTGACATACACACAGTTTTCTTCACAAGTGAGTAACAACTAACTCACACAAAAACTGTGTGTAGTATCTCTCTCTCGCTTTCCCCCAAAGGAAGACTTTGCTTTTGTCTCACTGCAGTGAGACTGATGATGTGACAACAAGAGGGAGGGGGAGATGAGGCTGACTTTAAATGTTTAATATTCATCAGCATGCACGCAACACTCCATCACGCCATCACGCCACATGACACCTGTTCTGTACGGACGGGAAGGGGTGAGAATGACGAAGAAACCGAGACAGGGAGAGTGAGAGGTGGAGAGACAAAACCTAGAGGTGAGAAAAGAGAAGTTAGCTCGGGAAAAGGGGTGAAAACAATGCAGAGAGCACATCCAATCAAGAGAGGGGGGGAGACTGCTTTGGGCAACTGTAGTGTAGGCAAAGTGTTTGATGCTTGTTGACAGCTGTATCTGTGAGGGGGAGGGGGGTTGTGTGTGCAGACCAAGACCTATAATCCTATACCATGCAAGGTTGCGTGACCGTTCATACCCCACTCTTTGCTGCTCCACACACCATTTGCCCTAATTGATCACACACACTAATACACATAGGCAGATGCACCAATGCATACATAGACACAACAATGTCCACAGTTCCTCTCCCCATATCCCCCAGTGACAATGAGGAGAATCCTTGAGGGTATATCACAGACACGCATGTACATACATGCATGCACATTATCATGCATATACACACACCCTACTAAGCACATGGGAGACAGTCACGCAATCCCCCGCCCATAACCCCCACAACCTTGCCACTTCTTGCTTCCCGACTACAATTAGCTAATGAACAATAAACAGCACCTTGCCTTATTGCTTACTTTCTTTAGCTCTGTCAAAGCCTCTAACGCAGTAGTGCCCAACCTTTTTTTTGTCTGATCTATCCCCACAGCCCTGTCAGAAGAACTCAAGTACCGCTTTAAACCAGCCATCATGTTCCAAATGTATTGATTGAAATTAAGTTTAAACTGGATGTTATTTAACACAATTGAATCTGTTTTGCATTCGCACTACTACCAAACATTTACCCATTACTTTTAGCTAGGCTATTTATTCTGACAATTCATAACTTTATCAATAAGCCATATTTTGGGGGGTTTCCACCATTTCCAACACTTTAGGCTAACTATTGCAACTGTTTTTTCCGAGCGTAACTTTTGGCTGAATATTTAAACAGGTTATCCTACTTTTAGCTAACAATTTATATTATATTTCCTACCTTTAGCCATTTCAACAGTTTACCCTACTTTTAGCTAACAATTTGAACTACCCAAATGATCCTACGTTTAGCTGTCTATTTCAAACATATACCCATAACTTTTGACTATTGCAATCATTTATCCATCATGTGTAGCTAAGTATCAACCACCTATCCACTATACAGTACATTTACCTAACCATTTGAACTGTATATTCACGACTTTTAGCTATTCATTTGAATCATTATCCAGTATTTTGCTAACTGTTTCTGCACTGCTAGCTTGCTAACTACTTTTCAAGCAGCCTCAATCTCTACGTGTCCAGGTGTTACAGCTGATACAGACATTACGTATTACTGCAACAGGTTTGTAATTTTGACTTTGTCAAATAAATTGAGCTACTCTAAAATCTTTCCAACCCCCAGGGAACTGGAGAGGTACAAGTATCCCTGGTTGGGCATGACTGCTCTACAACAGAAACTCAGAGGAAAGCGAGTTGAAGAAGAAACAACATTCATATTTCCAGTCCTGGGGATTTAAAAATAAACTGCTGCATGTGAGTTTATTCGGTGGGATGCAGTGTAAAAATTAAATGGTTTATGTGCCCAGGGGCGACTAGCCAGTTGAAAGGTTACCGAGTGCATCCTGGTGATTCATAAACTAGATATGCAGGCCGCAGCTGACCGTGAGTCAGACACAAATGTACGCATGCACACAACACACAAGGAAAGCGTACACAGATACACAAAGTGCTTTACAGGAATGTCTCAGGAAAGCAACTAAATCAACCCTCTACTGTGTATGTCACATGCATCCACGAATACATGCTTTATTATCATTATGCACTCCCACATTCAATCCCACGGGGCAAGGCCAGCAAACATGATCTGAACCTACAGGACTAGCGAATGCTCCAATAACTCCCGGGTGAGATTAGGGGGAAGAGTACAGTGGGATTATGGAGCCACTGCCAGCACTGTCTGTTTTGCGGTTTGTTTATGCTCCAGTTGCCCGATTAATCTGCGAGGGTTACCAGAGGATAGACGTTTAAGCTGCCTCGTATGCTGGCGAATGCTTCTACCTACTGGTCACGACAGCACACTGCAACTGAGGAAGAGTCAAGTCTTTTTAAATCAGATCGCATGGCATGAGCTTTGAAGCCATGTAGAATATTTACATAGGAAGATGGAAGCGGCTGTTACAGGACAGCGTGATTCTGTCTCCGTATCTGGATTTGTTGATAATTACCGATCACAGTCTAGCCATTAGTAGTTTCACAACGCAACAAAATATTTAAAGAGAAAACATTCCCAATTCATTAGACTAATGAGCAGTATTTATCCCAGTCAGGTCACAAAAATGATATAGATTTACCTAGCTATACACAATGTGTCCATTTCTCCTTCTGGAATGAGAAAGTGCTTCCTATTCTCAAGATGGCAGTGACAATGGCAACCAGAAACCTCTGAAGGGTGTGTTAAGTATTTTGGTGCAGAGCTGTTTAACATGGTGGTTGTTAAATTGTGGAGGGGCTGTGTGTGTGTGTTCTCTGATCTGCGGTTGGTATTTTGCCCTTGCCAGCAAATGTAAAATATCTGCTTTGTCATGTGGCGTGGCCACAGGTGGAAGAACAGACTTCAACGTTTCACCCGAGAGAAAGCAGCACAGCAGCAGTGTTCTGCCCTATGTGAGTCATTGAGAGGATTTAAGTGGCCTACAGCGGCAAGCATGTAATCAATGGTTTTAACTATGAATGACTGAAATTAACCAGTGGATTTAGTCACTCAGAAAATAGCACTGTATGCATCCGTTCTGTCCTAACATGATTTAAGTTACAGGAAGTAGTTAAGTACCCGGGAGACTGAGAATTAACAAAAATATAGACTTTATTTTTGAGCATCCATAGTCCATCATCTTCAGTTAAAATGACTGGAATGTCACTCAACCTTCAGTCTCTGTGGAGTTTGAGTCGGTTTGTAATGGGCTACGATCTGAATCAAGATGGATGAGTTGATGATCAAGAAGAGTAATCCAGCCAGCCAGATTAACACGAAGGTGTTGTAGCCTTCAAACTCCAGGAAGTAGGCTGGGCCCAACCAGATACCCTGATGGTGGAGAGAAAATATAATAGCTTCTTCATACCAAAGACAATTTCAGTTACTTTGTTCAAAGCACTGCAAACCCAAAATACGATGAAGTAAATTACCTGTCCGGCAAACCAGAGGAGGAGCAGTCCCACTCCCTGTTTTAGTGACAGACTCAGGTGAGGGATGACCAGAGGGAGGAGACACAGGTACCACAGGAAGTACTATGAAAGGATGACAAACATATGGTCACACCTGAGCTCCTGACTGGAAAGGACCCGACCTCCCCCCCAAGGTGCAATCACTTTCACTCAATGACCTCAGACGTCATGTCTACGTGTGCGTCCTGTGAGTTCATTCACTTTAATGTTTTGATTTATCATATTATTGCATATCTGTTGTGATGTCGTCAGGTGGTTCTCTCGCTAAGAAATATGCCTTTGAAAATAAAAGTCAAGTCCAGTGTCATGACACTAAACTACAAAACTACAAACAAAAAGACAGTATCTCTTCTTAATTGGATCCTATTCCCCCCAAATAAGCATCCTTATTGTCTTTCTACGGCTCATCTCAATGCTGAAAATGCTTTAGGAATACAGAAGAGAGTGGGGAAAAAACTGGGTGAATATTGACTGTTTTGATGTACCTGTGAAGTGCAGACTTTGTTGAAAGAGACAAAGATGGCGGTGTGCAGGAAGCAGCAGAAGGCCAGGTCAGAGTGAAAGGCCCATGACGCTACCAACAGCAGGATGAGCTGAGGCAGGAATGCTGCCAGGCCGAGCCACTGGCTCCACCTGCTGTCTGCACCAACGAAAGAATGAGACCAGGCTTAGAAAGCTGCATCATCTCCTGCAAGTTTACGCTCCCAATCAAAGAGATGAAAGGAAAACTAATAAAAATAGCTCCAACTTTAAATCTGATTTAATAAACAACCACTTCATTGCTGCTGACCGTGTACTTCTGCACATTTAAACTCGATGCTGGTCTTTGTTCTGTAGTTCTGTCTGCAGCAAGGTGTCACGCTACGAGGCTATTAAGGGATGGAGCGGTGAATACCTGTGGTGAGGTAGAGCATATAGAAGTATGGAGAGAAGTTGTGTCTGATGTCCCTTCTGGTCAGATGGTACAAGTAGGTCTCATGAAGGAACTCCCATCCATACCTGACGGTTCAGGAAAGGATTATTAAGTGTATTTCTTCAGATAAGGGAGAATGTAGAGAGAATAATATTGAGTCGTATCAGAAATACTTAATGAGTAGCTTCTCACATGTAGTAGAAGAGGGCTGTAAGCAGACAGAAAACTCCTCCGGCCACACTTGCAAAGAGGAGCAGCTCCCGGTTGAGGAAGCTTCCCGTAAACCCGATGAACCTCCTCCACCCCTTTTGGTCCTTCTCTGGTCTGGTCTCTGGCGTGCGCAGGGACAGAGTGATGGGCAGAGCGTATGTAACGGGGTAAATCTTCATATGGACCGACAGACCATAGAGCACGGCTGCCCACGTCAGATGCCGGGCTAGAAGGAAAACAAGGTCAAAAGTATTAGCGCAGAAGCTGAGTATCTACATTACAAAACATTATTTTAAAGAGCTTAAAATGTCTTTTTGAAACTCAAAAGCTCCACACACACCATCCACACCCTTACAAAACATTATTTTAAAGAGCTTAAAATGTCTTTTTAAAACTCAAAAGCTCCACACACACCATCCACACCCTTACCTTCCATACAGAGTAATGTCCCCAGCACCAGAGCTGCCAGTATTGACTCAGCATTCCCTCGGCTGGACACTCCCATGGGCAGTGGGTTGAGTAGCCACAGAGAACAAACACGGCGCGCAGTCTGAACATAAATCCCCCCCCCCCCCCAAAAAACACAACTTAATCTGAACTGTGTATTTCCAGGAAGGCTACACACTGTTGTTTTACAGGACAAAACGAATGAGTACACAAATTGTTAAAAGTGCCTCAAAAACATACCTCAGAGCTCAGGCCTCTCAGACGGAGGATTCTGTAGATGAGCAGTCCTGACAGCACGTCACACGCAATGAAGAGGATCTTGCCAAACACCAGGCTGAGATAGATGTTCGGGGTGAGCAGCCAGGCTAGAAGAGGGGTGTAGCGGTAGGTTGATCTGTTGTACGGGGACTGACCCTGTGCACAGAAGCATGAGCAACAGAGTGTACTGAAAGCATCACAAGTACTCATCATATAGAATAGCACCAGTCCATGTTATTGGATCATTATTATTGAGGCATTAACATGCAATAAGCAGTACTTTATATTAGTAGACATATTCTGGGACCAAGCAGCTTCACAGAAGTTATTATACTGCTGTTACCTCAGTGATGAATCTTGCAGCATCTGTGAACACATGGTAGTCAATGTCAGTGTACTTCACCACCATAGTCCTGTCCTGGTAGTCTCCATAAGCGACCAGCGCCAGTCGTAAAGCGAAGGAAGCCGTGAAGAGGACATGCTTTCCCGTGAGCTTGGTTATTAGCCTCTCCATCACCAACCAAGCAGGGAAACCAGTTCAGCAGGCGGCTCCGGAAGCTAACTAAGCTAGTTTGTCGTCTTTCAGCCGGAATGGGTCAGCCAAAGTGTCCGTTTCCCTCATCTCATTATCCCCTACGACTTTTGGTTATACAGTCGTCATGTATTGTTAATAAGCGATTCGTTTTTGAATAATCGGACTTAAAACAATGACAACCAGGAAGTAAACCGGAAGTGCAGTTCCTAACTTTTTCCTCCTTGGCTTCTACTCGGGGCACAAACACACCGATGCATCAGCGCCACCTACTGGGCTGGAGTAAGATGCGTTTACTGGCACATATTATGTAGTCCCTTTGTGACAAACGACAAATCCCGTGTCTTCCTGTGTTATGTTTAACACACCATTACATGTCCCATTGCTCTATCACGCAGCATACATCTTGTTTTATCTGCTAGATAGAATTAAAACCTGTGTCCAGAACAGTAAACCTGCTTTGTTTCTTCTCATGTTTCTACATCTAAACACTTTCAGGTACACTCAATCCCATTAAAAAAGTTATTCCAAATGTTATTAGACCTTCATGATTGAATAGTGTAACAGCCCCAGTCTAGAGGGTTCATACAGTGTGGTTTTCTTTCAAGAACATGTTACTCTTTTGATCTCAGGGAAGACACGCCTGTAGGAATAGGACACTTAAAGAAGTTCCTATAGTATACTTAGTCTCCCTCATATATAATTGACCAAAGCATTACTACTGTCAGCGAGGGTTAAACATTAACAGTAAGATAAAGGCGTCTCATAGACAACCAGTGTAGTATTAACACACAAACCACAATGACTGATCAAACTGCAGGTTATCCATCTTACACAAGTGGCTGAACCAGATCTTAGAAAATGTCAATAAAATGATTTTCTTGTGACAAATTATTTTTAAACCACACACTTTTATTCTACATGTAAAAGCACAAGGATGCATAAACTAACATGGACTCAATGCCAGTTCAAACCTTCATGTAAGCTCTTGTTCTTTATAGTCTATATGTATTATATGCATGATGGTACAATTACAAATAACCACACTTTCCTTCACTACACCAATCATCTATCTGACAATGGGATTTATATTGTCACTTTATTCTCTTTGGTTGACTGAACATATAAATGCTGAAATTGCATGTTCGGTAGAACAAGTGCAGCAAATCTTGCAACACTCGTATATTCATATGGTGTATAAGTAAAGTTAACGTCTTGGCTGGAGGTAGAAAAAAGAGAAATTGTGATTAAGGCAAATTCTTTCAAAGGGTGTAAGGCTTAAGATAAGATACATTAGACTTTAATGGTAAAGATTAACTAAGGTAGGGTGTGAAGGTGCAGCAAATAGGGCCATACGTGCATTACAGACATAAAGTGAAGCAGATCCTACGGATGAGATTAAGTATTGCACACAGAGGTCAACAAGAAGCCACTCTCAGGAAATTTCAACACCACCGACTTTACTAGTCATTCTTAGTGTTGAGGAACTCAGGTTGTGATTAGCTATAGGGAACTCCAGGGTGGTAATTCTCAACATACTTCCAGTAATGCTTATATTGTATACTGTTACAATAGTAGATGTAATAGACACCCCCCCCCCCTCCTGTTGAGAAACACTGCTCTAAACGGCTCACTCAGGGGAGCAGTATCGGCCAGCAAAGAGAATGCTTGAGGAGGCGTTGTGTCGGATGAAGAAGACGAAGGGGTGGTCTGCGGTGAAGGATTGTGGCATGCAGCGCAGCATCATGACAGCAGCAGTGGCGGCAGCCGCCTCCGTTCCCTCCTCATTGACCTCCACGAAAGCCTTGTGGACGACCTTGGACAGCACCAGGTCGTTGCCGGGAGACATGCCTGTCACAGAAGAGAACGGAGACAGAATATTTTAACACAAGGTTGACACAAGGTCACGTGTCACCCTACACGACAGGAGCATGAGCACGTTGGCGGGAGCCAGTTCAGGTTTCACGTGTCTGTTCTTTTTAATTATTATGAATATATATCTGATGTGATCCAGGCACACGTCCTACCAGAGAAGTCACACATTGACACGTCGAAAGCGTCCAACATGCCCATGCTGGCCAGGACATTCTTCATGTCGTAGCTCTCCTCCATCTTGAACCGAGGCAGCCCCACCCGAATCTCAACTTCATCCATCATGTCTGGACGAGTCCACTCCACAAAGTTCTCATAGGTCAGCTCCTTCTCCAGCTAGGGGACGGACACACAATCAATTATTTGTTTATCTGCGTTTTGTGGATTTCTTTATGAGAGCAAGTGTGTGTGTGTGTGTCCCACCTTCTCCAGACCTGTTGTACCATCCTCCATCTGACTGGGTAAAAAGATGAGCATGCTGAGCTCCTTTCCTTTGTAAGGCATCTCTAGGATCTGTGCAACAGAGGGTTTCAGATATTACAGCAAATTCCTTTTACTGGTCTGACAACTACATGGTTCTTTGTTATGCATTAACAAGATAGTTTATGGGATTACATGCAACCAAAAAAAAAAAAAAACCTTGTTAGGATCACAATGGATGACAATCAAAACCTCATCCATTCTCCTTGGAATCGTTCACATTACATGGAAATCTCGTTAAATCCTGTTTAACCTCATTAACAAAGTTCATACACAATTAGTTCAGCTGTTGCCTGGTCAGTTAACAATTGTTTGATTGATCAACAAACTAGTTACCTGGCAGTTGGCTTCCGGGATGTAGGTGACGGGGAACTTAGATTTCAGGTACATCATCTTCACTGACTTGGTTTCTTTCTGACAATAAGCAGAAAAATACGCAAGCTTGAAGAGAAACTTAACACCAACAGAAATGTTGTACACATCGCCTGGTTGCAGTGACGTAAATGTGTACTTCACGGTGTGGTCAGTACATAGTGACATCCCTGCTGGGTGTGGTCAGAGGCGCAACAAACTTGGCAAAAATGATTGCTGGTTCTTTTCCACTGTTTCCATCACCTGCTGGTTAAAAATCACTGCACGCACTTGTAGCATTTTGTCCACAAGTTCAACGCAAGGTCACTTGTTATTACTCAGAGGAAAGTCAAACATCATCACATTTTTTACTCTGGTGAACCATTTGTCAATGTTGTACCATTACATAGGCGTGTCTAGTGACTCAAACTCTGCTTCATTAAAAAAAACACACATTCTCTTCCCTTCACCAAATGGAAGCATCATTTCTGGAGTGAAGCAACATACAGTATGATTAATGCGTAGCTGTTGGGAAACGCTCCCTCCAAGTCTTGACTAACTTCCAACACAAAAGTGTCAGACAAATGCCTTTTTATTAAGTGATCAAATTCCACCCTTTTTGTCTTTCCACCATTTCATTTGGTCAGGTTTCCTTCTTTCAATGAAGAATCAAAATCAACCTCCATGCAATACAGTTAAAATAAAAAAACATATTTACTGACTTCTGTCAATCAGTGTTAGCCAATGAAATGTGTTCATTGAGCAGTGTTACCTTGTTGAGTCTAAACTGAGCATCCTTGGTGGCACTCTCTTGAAACTGCTTGTTCCAGTTGCCTTTGAAGTAGATGGCATTGACCAGCACCAGCCTGGTGAGGCCGTCCACCACACCCTGGGCCAGCACGTCCTTAATTTTACCTGGTAATCAAAACAGACACGGACATGAAGCAATTTGCCAACTATTGCCATGTTTCCATGTATGCTGGCGTGTATGGCCCACCTTGTGTCTGCTCGAGCACCCATTTGTTGATGTTGAGCCTGGCCGCCTCTGAGCTGGTTACGAAGTCCACCGCCTCCAGCTCTGCGCTGTAGTGCTTCTTGGTTTTTCCCAAATAATCCTGAAATCATCAACGACACATTTACTGAGTCAGATCACCCAAATAAAATAATCTCTTTGCTTGACTTTACTTAGTTGTAGTAAAAGCCAGAGAAGTATTTCCACGGTTTTACTTGCTTGTATGCTGGCGCACTGTCCAGACCCTCATTCATCTTAAGCTTACAAAGCTTAAAGATTCTTATGTGTGCCTCTCATTCACTCCGGCCTAATATGTAAACTACACACACACCTCAACGAACTGGTAGGACTGCTCCCCGTACAGTCTGTTGGCAACACTGAGGGCATACGGAGCGTCAGCCTTGTTGAGCTCGCTCAGCAGTTGGGCAAAGCTAACGTGGACATCGTCCGGGCAATCCTGGGTTTTCAGGCACTGTGGAAAAAAGTAGACGAGTGTTACAGAGATGCACTGAGCACGTGACAGACCAGTCTGTTATAAACAGTATATTTGACGGGTTAGCTTGCCTATTAAGTGATGAGTTTGACAAGGTTTCCTCCATGCTATGCATCAGCAGTTTTGCATACATTACGTTGAGGGATGGCGGGCAGCAGTAGCTCACCTCAAATACTTCCTGATATATTTGCACCACAGAAAGATGAGTCCATAACGATCTACTGGTAGGAAATGGACTGCTTGGACCTTCTCATCACTTAATAGGTATGATACATATTTTTTGTACAGGGGTACTCCTTTAAGTTGAAGGCTTCCAGTGTTTCACTCTCACATTCTGTACATATTGCATCTGAGAACACCATAACCATTTACATGTCAATGCACAGCATCCCAACACGGACTGAATAATATGGCAGAAGGCAAAAAAAAGAAAGAAAACTGACATGAAAAAGAAAGAGGGACCACTTTAACACCTTTAACACAGACTTTAGAGAACCCATGGCAATGAAAAGCGTGGACGAGTCTTTCAGGAAACAGCCACGTGAAGACGCACGCCATCCCTCCACCGCGTTGTTATTTACAGGGTTATCTTCAAAAACGCATGACCAATCTTTTTATTCAGCTGGATTCAGTGCGGTGTGTATCCAAATCAGTAAGAACCTAAAACAGCCAATTTCATAGAAAGTCGTCATGACGTTTGTTAAATTTGGCGTTAACCACATCCAAGAAGGTTATACACAAGAATAAGGCATGTATACAAAAGGAAACAGCTTAATTTGTGTGTACACTATTTTCCTAATTTTTGTTGTAAGTGAGTCTAATCACACTGTGGTTTCCAGCAGCTGCAAGAGATTTTTAAAAAAGCACACCAGGAAGAAGCTATCAATAGAAAAGCCGGGACTACATTCCTGTGTATTATTTAATAATATGTGGTTTCAAGCCGTTGGACACACACACATACACACTAAAACAGCAGATTGGAGATCAGCAAGCAAAAGGGAGTGAAAACAAGCACAAAATTCTCTCCTGAACCACCGGCTCTTTGCCTCCGAGGATCCCCTCACCAGGTGACACCAGAGTGTTAGTGAAACGCCCCTCAGGGAGTTTATCATTCCTCCGCTGTTGGCTTTGTTACCATCTTCAGCAGATGCGCTGGCAGTTTGAACGGGGCCTGCTGCTGCATCTGCATCTGCTCTGCTCCTGCATGACGTGGCTTTTCTGCCTCGGTGAAGCAGAGAACCTACAGTAGGGGTGCAGTTGTGTTGACTGTTAGCTTAGACCCCATGTGTCTGGACGGGAAGTTAGAATACCCTCTTAGCAGTGATGTGTGGGTTGATTTGTATGCAGTACATTAACCTTATATTTGGAAGATAGATCAAAAATGATGCCAAGCCATACGGATCCTATTGTTTGTTCAGTAAAACACTTCTCTACAGTTTTAAACCCCTCTCACAGAGCACAAAGAAATGCAGAGATGATGATCGTAGCTGCATATTATATTGCAGGTACCAGTGTATGCGCGGTTCAAAATTGGATTGAATCATTACGTTAATGGTTGGCAGGAAGATAAATGACAAGTTCTTGCAATCTCGGATGATGTAATTGCACACACACACACACACACACACACACACACACACACACACACACGCTTCCACCTTCTGGAACAAACCCAGTCTTTATACAAAGGACACAAAAGGACAGAGCTCCTTGCTTTGCACAGTGAACTCTTTCACAAAAGGCTGTATTTACAACACTAACTTTGTGCCTGACCCTGTCGAGCAGCCTGGCAATAACCCTTCTGTCATCGCATCAGAAGACTAAATACTATTACCCCTCCTCACAATGAAGATCCTTCTGTAATCTTTGTCAATATTGTCATTTCAAGCGACTGGAAGAGATGTGGTGGATTTAGGGCGAAGCCCTGCCCCTCCCACATACTCACACCAGCCCAGAGTTATCTGGGTGTGTCTTTGCTTTAGCAATCCTTTAGAAAAATGTTGTTGTTTTCTTCTGCTGCTGCTGTTGCTTCTGCTGTACAGACTGCCACTGTGTGAGAGGTTTTTTTTGTCTTCCTCAAGGTGTTAAAGTACAAATCAGTCCATTATTCCACAAGTATGTTGCTATGCATAACTATTTTTATGTCTCATGAATAGACAAAAATTAAATTAAGGAAACTCAGTCTACAGCTGCTGTACCTACATTGTTCATGGGAGCATCAAAAGAGTAAAATCAGTCATTACTATTAATTGTCTGATTCGGAATAGTTGGGTTTATTTATTTAATTCATTCGAATTAATTATAGAGGACTGAAAATATTCTTCCAGCTGACATCCATTCAGCGACTCAACGTATGACACCCAGGCAAGCCAGACAAGTGTCTGCTGCACATAACATAATGGGAACTGATAAGGTGTACAGATTACTTTACCGATATCTTCTTTGCCCTTACACTTCAATATTGTGTTTCAGGTTCCCATAGTAACACAACAAAGAGCCCACCCCCCCCACCCCCCCATGAAGCCTGAACAGAACAGATCTTTATCATTTTTGCTGACGCTGAAAGAAACCAACCAGTGATTCATACTGAACAAGTGCCTACACATCTGCAGTACTGCACTCTGGCCTTCATTCCTACCAAATCTATCCCACCATCTTCATTGTTGCTTGAAATTGTCTCAGAGAGGCGCTGGGTTGACTCTCTGGGAGTTTTCAGAAGACGCAGCTCGTGGTGGTGTTTTGCCGGAGTGCATTTCACAGTGTGAAACCTGCATCCTATTGTCCACCACACGGACAAACCGAGGCTTCACAAAATCACGCCAAACCAGGTGCACCAACCCTCAAAGCCATTCATGTTAATCTTTTACTTTTCACAAGGCCAGTCGGTGTGTGTGTGTGTGTGTGTGTGTGTGTATACTGTACCTCTGACATCTGCGTGGCTGTGTTGCCTTTGGCCCCCAGCATCACCATAGCCAGGGCTGAAGAGATGCTGAAAGGG